GCCCCGACATCTACCCCTGCCCTCACCCAGAAAACTAGCAATACCGACGACTATGAAGACGAGGACGCGTACGACGACGAGCCCGCATTGGAGGACGAAGATCCGTCCAAGTCAGAGACGGTAGAAAAGCGGAAGCGCCGGTTACGAATTAAGGGACTCAAGAAAAAGCGGCGCGAGAACCCCTACGAATTTATCAACGGTGGCGGTGACGTCCTGGGAATTGTGTTCCTTGAGATCAAGAATATCACCGACCTGCCACCTGAGTCTAATTTAATCAAGACCACATTTGACATGGATCCATTTGTTGTTACGTCACTTGGCCGCAAGACTTTCCGTACAAAGACTATCAACCACAACCTCAACCCAGTCTTTAACGAGAAAATGATCTACCAAGTCTTGGCCCACGAGCAAACCTACTCCTTCTCCTTCACCGTCATTGACCGTGACAAGTACTCCGGGAACGACTTCATCGCATCTGCATCGTTGCCGCTCAAAGAGTTCATTGACCGCGCTCCCAAGGCCGACCCTGAGACTGGTCTCTACGACCTCCGCGAGCCGCCCGAGTATGTCCCACTTGCCCAGCGTGGACGCTTCAAGCGCCTCGGTCTGTCCCGATCGTCTTCGTCACAAAGCCTGACCAAAATGTCACGCCCAACCCCGACAAAGACTCCTTCCGCCTCTGCGATGAGCAGTGGAGCAACTGCACTCGAGTACCAGGCCCCCGAAGGCTCTGGCGTGTCAGACCCGTCGGGTCCGCAAGGCGACATCACAGACACGCCCCAGGTGACAACCCCGTCGGAAGTCGCTGTTTCTGACCCAATGGCGTCACCTGGCCTCACAAAGCAGATTAGCGGAGGCGGTTTACTGACCGCTGAAGGGAACACTTGTAGTGGCAGCTCACCGACATCATCAATGGGCGAGTCGGGTGCTGTAGACAGTGATGAACCAGGCTTCACAACATTCACACTACCACTAAAGATGAAGAACCTGGAAAAGTGGGAGGACAAGCACAACCCGCAACTGTTTATCCGGGCGAAGTACATGCCCTACCCGGCCCTGCGTCAGCAATTTTGGCGTGCCATGTTGAAGCAGTACGATACCGACGAGAGTGGCAAGATCAGCAAGGTGGAGCTGAGCACGATGCTTGATACACTTGGGTCGACGCTGCGGGAATCTACCATTGACAGCTTCTTCCAACGCTTTAAGAAGACACCTGGCAGTGGCAGCGGTGGCGACGACGATTGGGCCGATTTGACCATTGATGAGACTGTTATTTGCCTGGAGGATCAACTTGACGCGAAACCGAAGCCTCAGCAGTCGTTGTCAGTTACGGACAAAATCAAGGATGCGCTTCCTGACAGCGTCGTCGAGAAGATCAAGCCCGCCGTGTCTCTTGCTATTCCAGGGCAGTCAGCAAGCGTTCCCGAAGCCGACGCCCCCACGGCATCTTTGACAAGCGCGTCAGGTAGCCCAGAGATCCCTGCCCAGAATTCATATGATGCCGAGATGCTGGGCCGTGAGGACCTCGATGAACGCGGTGGAGAGGAGCATGTTGTGGAAATTCGTGAGTGCCCAATCTGCCACCAGCCGCGTCTCAACAAGCGCAAGGATGCCGACATCATCACCCACATTGCCACCTGTGCGAGCCAAGACTGGCGGCAGGTGAACAACTTGGTCATGGGCGGGTTTGTCACCTCCAGCCAGGCACAGCGCAAGTGGTACTCCAAGGTGATCACGAAGATTTCGTACGGTGGTTACAAGATTGGAGCCAACTCGGCGAACATCCTTGTTCAGGACCGTATAACGGGCCAAATTAACGAGGAGAAGATGAGTGTGTACGTGCGCCTCGGCATTCGACTTCTTTACAAAGGCCTGCGATCGAACAACATGGAGAACAAGCGAAGTAAGTTGTGCCGCCGGGCCCACTCCAACATTTTTTTTGTAATTGTATATTTATATTTGCTATGCACATAAGCTGTATACTAACCCTGGCCTATGCAGTCCGCAAGCTTCTCAAGGGCCTCAGCGTCAAGCAGGGACGGAAGTATGACGACCCTATCTCTAAACAAGAGATTCAAAAATTTATCAACTTCCACCAACTGGACATGTCGGAAGTCCTTCTTCCTCTAGACGAGTTTAAGACGTTCAATGAGTTCTTCTATCGGGCCCTGAAGCCGGACGCACGGCCCTGTTCGGCTCCAAACAACCCTCGCATTATTGTGTCTCCAGCAGACTGCCGATCTGTCGTGTTCAACCGCGTCGATGCGGCTACCAAAGTGTGGATCAAAGGTCGCGAGTTCTCTGTCAAACGCCTTCTGGGTGACGTGTCTGCAGACGAGGCCAGTCGATACGAGAATGGCGCGCTCGGTATCTTCCGGTTGGCACCGCAAGACTACCACCGCTTTCACATTCCCGTCGACGGTGTTCTGGGCAAGCCGAGATTGATTGCTGGCGAGTACTACACAGTCAACCCCATGGCGATCCGATCGGCACTAGACGTGTACGGCGAGAACGTGCGCGTAGTTGTGCCGATTGAGAGCGAGACTCACGGGCGTGTGATGGTTGTCTGTGTGGGCGCGATGATGGTGGGTAGCACGGTGATTACGCGTAAAGAGGGTGAGCAAGTTAAGCGTGCAGAGGAGCTGGGCTATTTCAAGTTTGGCGGCAGCACACTGGTGCTGTTGTTTGAAGAGGGCCGCATGAAGTTTGACGACGACCTTGTGGAGAACTCGAGCGGTGCACTGGAGACGCTGATCCGGGTGGGCATGTCGGTTGGCCATTCTCCTAACGAGCCGCAGTGGAGACAGGATATGCCCAAGAACGAGACAGAGGTTACGGAGCAAGACAAGATCGAGGCCAAGCGCCGCATCCAGGGCAGCACTATGGCGGAGGATATTACACCCGAGGATAGTGGCGGGGACGATCTGCTGTCGTAAGAGATGGTGCTTTACTATTTCGAAATACTTGCAGCTTCCTTTTTCATCTTGAACACATTACTTTCCGTACAAGTTTTTTTGAACACATTTGTGTCCATACAGCGCCGTGGCATTACCACAGACATCGGCTACAAACAGCGAGAATATGCTTCTTATGCATTGGCGAACGACAGCAGTTTATCCAACATCATTTCTCTATGGTTTTTATTTTAATTTTTATTAAAAAGCTTTCAATTTTCACGGTGTTCACTGTTGATTAAATGAACATGCATTGATGCTACTGTACTGAACTATGGAATGGAATGGTATGTCATCGCTAGAAGAACCCAAACGCCGTATGAGATGGGAATCTCAAGGTAGTGAAGGAAAGCAAGCAAACGACACAATGGGACAGGCAATGCAACTTAGAAATGCGAAGTTAAATCCCGTCCCTCACACGTCACACATCCACCCCCAACTATCGCTCTTCGTGACTGTTGGAACTTCGATCGCTGTCCATGGAACGTTTCTGAGGCGAAACTGAGCGTTGGGTATACAACTTATTGTAGCTGGGTAGGGCGGATGTGGATATGTGGTAAAAATGCTTGCCGTCTTTTGCGGCGCCGGGTTGGCTGCCGTCGCAGGTGATGGTTGTGGAGGACGAGGACAGGGAGGAAGAGGAGGAAGTAGAGGAGGAATCGTGTGTCTGGCGCCATGATGCGTAGATTTGCTTGCACAGATGTGCGGACATGGTGTAAGTGGGCGACATGGCGGCGGAGGTAGATAAAAGTGAAGCAACAGTAAGCTGTAGATTTGCTTGCTTGGCTCTATGAAACTCGTGCCTTTTGTGGAGGACAGTCGATTCTTGTTGTGTTTCGTTTGTGACGTCTGTACATCTAAGGCTGCCTTGTCGGTTCGGAAGCGAAGCCCGACGGGGTGCCGAAAGGGAGTGCGTGGGAGACGGGTTTTTCGTGTAAGACGAAGATGGCGTGGAGAGGAAAGGGTCGGGCAAACAAGAGATAAGAGGCAAGTCAAGAGCTTGAAGAGAAAAAAACAAAAGAGAAGAAAGAAAGACAAAAGATGAATAGAAGAGGAAGAGAAGAAGTTCGAGCAAATGAGGAGAAAACGAAAGACGCAGATTTAGCTCCGCGAGGACAGTAACAGACTGAAGTTCGTTTGCAAAACAAAACACACCAAAAGTAACAAAATGACCAACCACGGAAAAGAAGGCGACCTGTGTTATACGGCGCAAAGTCCATTTACATCACCTACGCCAGATTGCTCGTCATTGGGCAGTTGGCGATCTTATTGGCCATCGCCCCCACCTGGTGTCCTTTGGCCAGGACCTGCCAACTGGCCTGCTATGGTCTGCCACTGTGCTACAGGTCTGTCCAGTTGTATTATAGGGCATTCGCGTGTGCTGACAATTGCTTGGAAAACAGGCCAGGCCATGCTGCCATTCCGTTGCTGGAAACGCTAAACAAGGCGGAGCCCCACCTGCCGTCTCGCATGTTTAGGTGAGAGGTGGAACGACGATGCACCGCCGCTGAGGTTGAATCGCATGACTGCAAATCGATGGGGGGGAACAGGGCGGGCAGGCAAACAGCAGGAGCAGCGTTAGACCACGCAGGCACGCATTTTAATCCCCCCAAAACCCATTCTCATAGTGCTGGGTGTAATATGTTGTAACGCAACTAGAATAATCTTCCGTCGTTCAACCTCCAGGGGTGCTCCGCTAACGGTTGACCATCACACTTAGTACTCCGCGAGACGCGCGAAGGATGCGAGGGGGTTCACTAGCCAGCAAACAGACCTGGGCCAGGCCAGATTCGGGAGCCGGCCAACAACAAACTTCCACACGATCCCACGCGAAATTCTCGCACGTAATGGCCAAATCTAGTGTACTCTCGTACAAACATAGTAAAAGGTGGGTGTGCTCGGCTGGACATGACCGATGGCATGAGAAACTGGGAGGAATGGGCGGAAAGCGCGAGTACGTCGCCAAACAAACGGGCACATGTGGGAAGTGAACTTTTTGTAATTACTTTGATTTTATTTTCCATTCTTTCACTCACAGTCAAATGTCTAACCGTTCTTGAGGCCAAAGAAGGACGTGATCTTCTGGCTGCCACTGCTTTTGTCGTCTTGTGCCTTCTTGCTTGGTGTGCGAGCCGTTGCCTTAAATTTGCTGTTCCCTTTGCTTCCCATGGTATCCTGACGCTGTTTACTGCTGCTCGCCGTCATGGATGCTGGTCGCGTGCCCACGGTGTTCTTCACGGGCGTCGTCGGTATTGGCGCTGTGGCAGGAGGAATCGCATCCTCCGTAGGAGCCACGACCTTTGCTCTCTTCACCGGCTGCTCGGCATCAACCTCTCCGCCTTCTGCCTCTCGCTTCGTTTGCTTTTCTTCCTTCGACACCATCCCTCCTCGGAAGAAATTAGCAATATTTGCCTTGTTGCTCTCGCTGGCCACCGGCACGATGAAGCTTGGCGAGCTGTGCCCGGCTTTATTGACATCCTTGCTCACTACATCGACGATTAGAGCCGCGCCGTCGTCTTCCGCCATTCGGGGCCACGGCCGGAGCAGCGTCTGCAGCTCGTTCGACCACGCGTCGTGCGTCGGGTCCAGCCACATCTGCAGCTCGCGTGACTGGTAGTCGAACACAACAGGCATGCGGTCGTGCAAAAACCGCAGCGACTTGTTAGAGTCTGTCGTGATGATTGTGTATGTATACGTCTTCGTTCCGGTGCCGTCTTTACCGCTCTCGCCGGCCTCACCGTCCTCAAACACTACACTGTCCCACAGCCCGGCCAGCAGCAGCGGTAGTCCATCTCGCCTTCGGATGTAGTGTGGCACGCGCTCTTTGGGCCCGTTTTGAGCCATTCGTAGAAGCCCTGCGCCACGACAATGCACCGCTTGCGTCCGCGGAGCGGCGCCCACATGCCCGTACCGGCTGCAAGTGAGTCGGCGCGGCAGTTGATTGTCTTGAGCATGGCCGAGTAGTTTGGACGTTTCTTCATCCAGAATGGCACAAGGCCCCACTTCATGACCTGTAGCTGGAGATGTACTTCGGCCTTCCTCTCGCCAACTTTGACTTTGTTGGTCGGTGTGCTTGGCTTGTCGGATTGCTTCCCAGGGAAGACAGGCCGGAGGACGATACCGTGGTAGCCCGGCGCAAAGTTGTACGAAGGTTGGAATATGGCATCTCCTCCTTTGGAAGAATCCGCATTTCCCGGAGCCTCTGTGTCGTGCGCGAGGTCATTTCCCTCAGCATTTCGGTGGTCCTGTTGCGCGTCATCGGAATCGTCCTGTCCCCATCCTCCGTGCTGTTCGTGGAAGTCGTCGGCGGGCAGGCCGTGCTCCTGCAAGACGTCGTGCACCTGGCCATAGCGCTGGGAATGTTAGCACAATAACGCATTGGACTCTGGCATACATTGGGGCTTGAGAAGAACCGGCCGAAGCATTCCATCAACTGTCAACATACCAGAGCTAGAACATATCGGCCACACATAGTCGTCACCTTGGTCTCTTGCGTTGCCTATGTGTTGTGATTCCGGAAGCAATCTTTGTGTTCACTATTCTTCCGTGCGCACTTGCGCCGAGCTTCAGACCGCAGCGATGACGCGCCTGCCTGAATACGCTACCACGGCAAGGTGCACATATCCTGTGTGGATGACTAATCAACAAACGAATGTGAACACAGTGTTTTTGTTTGCCCCTTTGTTAATGTTGTATGGCTTTGGTTGTTCCTCGTAAAGTATGTATTTCATTTTTGTTAAAAACGGCAAATTGAACTATGCGCGTTTTGGTATAAACGACATGGATTTAAGTGAAAGTGAATGATGACCTGATTGCAGTCCTGCGTCCAGTCCCAACAATGATAATCGTAGGCACGGTAGCTATGAAGCACCATGCTGCGATTTAGGTCGAGGAGAATGGACGTGGACCTGTATATTTATCAGAATGAACACCAGAAAATTATTATACGGAGACAGTTGAATCTTACCTGGGAAGATGTACTTTCCTGTCATGCCATAGTTGTTAATCAAGAGGCCTTGGTCGGAAGACGTGTAGATGCCGGGGATGCTGTACGTCGTGGGATTTTGTTTTTCTACTGACCCATGATTTAGGCCTCATTCCATGTACAGCTGGACGCCGTTGACTGATCGAGCCACGTGGAGAGCGACTATCTGCTCCCGCAAGAGATATCAGCCGTTTTCTGTGCAGGTGGAGATGGCAGCGACTCGCATCCTAGCGTTGTCAATGACGATATTTGTACCGCAGAAACCTAATGTCAACAAAACACCGAATGACATTGGCCGATTTAACGATAGTCTCATCGTAGGACTCTGCGAAAGAAATTTTTTTTTTTTCTCAAATATCTACAGTTACGCTCAACTCAAACCGCCCCGTTGATTTTATTTCCATGTGCTTGTATATTTGTCACCATTATCTAGAGAAACGGACGTAACTGCAGTAACAGTAACGGCAACAACGGCGACAAGAAAATGTTGCATTTGACCGCCACAGCCGCTTGGCATCTGCACCTGACTTGACATTTGGCCCGACGGACCGTCCTCATACATATGAAAGGGATTCTGAACGAGTTAAACGGGCGTAAAATAAGTTTCTGTACAGCCACCAAGGCCGCCGCATGCCTCGATGGAGAGTGACATGGTTTATTGCCAAGGAGGCCCTTTAGCCAAAGTACGTCTAAGTGGCTACTCCATTTCATACACTTCTTTCGCCCACCGTGCCTTTGAAGGCGCTTTCGAGACTGAAATGCTGCTGTGATTGTGTGTTGATGAGTCATATTACCTTATTTTACGACAACGGGCCAAGGCGGGATCTGTGGCTACTTTTAATCATCGAGATCATTTTATGCCGCTAAGATGCACCGTGGTACCGATATTAGGGGGGCAGATGATATTTATCCAGGCCCCAATGCAAGCCTTGCTTATTTATAGGTATATAATATATCAATGACGCTGTGTTCCAGATGCTCTAAGTTGATGTTTGCTTTTGTTCAGCCGGACCTGCTAAATCGGATATCCATCCCGTCGGGGCAGATCCTTGTCTATATACTGCCTGTGAAAACCGATATACGAAAGAATGAACCGAAGGAGCACAGTATTAGAAAACAATGTGTGCGAAAGCGGCCAAGAATTGGAACAAGCCGACAAGCTTTGGATCCGATCCAACAGACCGGCAGTCGTATATAGTGTTATCAGGATAATCTGCTTGACAACGAGTCACGAGAAGCTGCTCATAGTCGATTGTTGCTCCATGGAGCTGCACTGGTATGGTCAGTGAATATCTCATGAGGTCCACGTTCGTTATATACACACTCTAGCTTATTGTAGCTGCTAAAGGACACATGCTTCCGACATATATACCGAGCTGGCTTTCTCGGTCTTTGCCTAAAACCTCCGCTCGTAGTCTACCGCACACCCTCTACCGTCTATACTTATCTAAAATACCACCATTATCAATTTCGCACGTGTGGACCATCATTTGGGCTCAACAGTACCACAAGAACGGTCGTCAATATGGGCCAGCTCAATCAAGCTCTCCGCACTTTCCCCGGAACCGCGGAGACTGAATCCATGGAGAGCCATACACATGGAGAGATTAGACAGGGAGAATGAGTGGTGGAAAATAAGCTCTGCCGCCTGCCAAAACAGTGGACAATGTCTGATATCTCAGAGGCCAAATGTTATTCATAAGTAGGCAGGACCTTCCAGTGCTGCCTATTTTGTCTTTGACCTCTGATGTTCGCTTTGTAGCTCGAGTCACACCCTTCGAGCAAACTTTTGCTCGCTCGATCTTGTCTTTCGTTCGTTTAGTCATCATGGGTCTCATCACGCGCATTGCAACCGCCCTTGTTGCATACTCCTCGCTCTGGGTCCAACCATGCTTGGCCCAGGATTCGACCATTGTCAGCAAGTACAAGGATGATTCGACCAATATCACCTTTGGTATGTATGGAATCGATGCCATTGTCGATGCCAGCACCGGGGAGGTAGCCCAAGGGTTTTACAACTTTGGCATTGTCTTGCCTGACAATGCTCTGAAAAAGGATGCCAATGAGTACATTGGAATTTTGGTAAGCCAACAGACCAATACCTATTAACAGATACTTTTAATTTCACTTTCGTACTGCATTCAAGTCTTTGCATTTCCTTCGCTCTAAATTTGATTTTCACCATAATGACTAACGTACCGCTTTTTCAGAGGTGTCAAAGCACAAACACATCGCTCACCGGCTGGTGTGGCATCTCACATGGCGACAAGGGCCAGATGACAAACTCCCTGCTGCTGGTAGCGTGGCCTTGGAACGGCCAAGTTATGACGACGTTCCGCTACGCAACGAAATGGACGATGCCCACAGAATACATCGGCGATGCGAAGCTGACGCAGATCTCATCGTTTGTCAATGAGACCATGTTCGAGGTCATCTACCGGTGCCAGAACTGTTTCTCCTGGAAAACAACCGAAACCACAACCCAGACTGTTAACACCACCTCCGGAACGCTTCTGTTCGGACGAGCACTGGCCGTGAGGGGCCCGGATGCAGCGAGCTGCCCGAGCAAGATGACCTTTGGATTCCACGACTCGGGGTACAGCCAGTACGGCGTTGATCTGACCAACGCCATTCACCCCTCGTACGCCTCATGGGCTGCAATGGCTACCCATGTCGTTTCCACCGACTGTGTCAACATCCCTGCTGCCACACCCACCCCGGAGCCAACATCATCTGGCACAGCATCGGCATCTGTTTCTGAGTCTGCCTCGGCCTCGTCGTCTGCTTCTGTTCCGGCTGCGACAACCGCAGTGCCGGTACCAACGCCGACCCCAATCGTGCCATGTAAACCAGCTCCGAACAAGACGTACGACTACATTATCGTCGGTGCTGGCGCTGCTGGTATTCCCCTGGCCGACCGCCTGTCGCAGGTTGGTAAATCCGTACTGCTGATCGAGAAAGGCCCGCCTTCGTCTGGTCGCTGGGGAGGCGTCATGCGCCCTGACTGGCTGAACAACACCAATTTGACGCGCTTTGACGTGCCCGGCTTGTGCAACCAAATTTGGGTCGACTCGGTTGGTGTTGCGTGCACAGATACGGAGCAGATGGAGGGCTGTGTGCTTGGAGGTGGTACGGCGGTCAACGCCGGATTGTGGTGGCGTGCAAATCCTCTTGACTGGGACTACAACTTCCCCGATGGGTGGCGCAGCAAGGACATGGCAGGCGCTACGAGCCGTGTGTTCCAACGGATACCAGGCACGATTGCCCCGTCGATGGACGGTAAGCTGTATATGCACCAAGGCTTCGATGTTATTGCGTCGGGTCTAAATGCGTCGGGCTGGAATTACGTCATCCCCAACGACCATCCGGACCAGAAGAACCGCACATACGGTCACACCACGTATATGTTTTCCGGCGGAGAGCGCAGTGGCCCGATGGGTACGTATCTTGTCAGTGCTTCGCAGCGTGGCAACTTCAACCTGTGGATGAACACACCTGTGCGCCGCCTTATTCGCGACGGCGGCCACATTACTGGTGTGGAGCTCGAATGCACGTCGGACGGATACTCTGGCAATGTCTACGTGACGCCCAACACAGGCCGTGTCATCTCTTCGGCTGGTACCTTTGCATCTGCTAAGCTGCTTCTGCGCAGCGGTATTGGCCCGGCTGACCAGCTCTCTGTCGTCAAAAACTCGCCTGACGGCCCGACCATGATCAACGCAACCTCCTGGATCGATCTTCCGGTTGGCTACAACTTGAACGACCACGTTAACGTACGTCGCTTTCTTTCCCTCCCAGGTATCAGCGAGGATAATGGGGATAAACATGTGCGCACGGATGTGTATACTGACTTTATTAGACTGACACGGAGATCTCGCACCCTGATGTGGTCTTCTACGATTTTTACGAAGCCTGGACCAAGCCCATCGTGTCAGATGAAGACAGCTACCTCAGTACGTAATACCCTCTAACCCTATGGATAGCACACGTTGATCTAACGGCATTAAAGAGAACCGCACGGGCATTCTTGCACAGTCAGCACCCAATATTGGTCCCATGGTAGGTTTATATAATTGCCTTTATATGACCGGACATACCACATACTTAGCATGCATCTAACTATTGAAATCTACGTAGTTCTGGGAGGCCATCAAGGGCGACGACGGCATTGTCCGCCAACTACAGTGGACGTCACGTGTGGAGGGATCTACCAACACATCCATGATCATGAGCCAGTACCTCGGTCGTGGCTCAGTGTCCCGTGGCCGCATGGTCATCACTCGTCGCCTGACCACGTTTGTTTCTGTCCCGCCGTATCTGCACGACGATCTGGACAAGGACGTCGTCATCAAGGGCATCCAGAACCTGCAGGCCGCGCTTAAGAATGTGCCCAACATCACTTGGATCACCCCAGCGCCGAACCAGACCGTTGCGGAATACGTCAACTCGCTCCCCAACACGCCGGCCAAGCGTCGCGCAAACCACTG